ACAACCGCCGGCCCGCGGTGATACGCCAAACACATTTTTGCGCGTGTGAAAGTTGCTGTTATATATTAGACATGGGTCAAGTACAAAGGCTTGTTTACATAATAAATGATTGTATAACTAAACTTTACATCAAAAATATGGAAACATTTGGATTTATAATGAATGAGAGGTAAGTACAAATTTGGATTAAGCCATATGCTTTGTATTCTATTTTGCGAACTGCTCACCTGGGGCCGGTTGCACCGGCTAGACGTACACCTGGTTGTAAGGCTAGGCTGGACGTAAAATGCGCTTTAAGTCATGCGTAGAATTTATACCCGTTGCACCATCTCGGCGTAGTGCTACGTCTGAGACTAAGGGTGCTTTCACACTAGCACTTTTGGTGCGCACCCGGGTTCGATTGACATCAGGGTTCGGGACGTTTGGATGATGTGAACGCTGTCTTCCGAACTTGGGTGCACACCCGCGAACCGTACCCGAGTCCGCTTAAAAAGGGTGGTCTGGGGTACGGTTCAAGTGAACTCCGGTACGGTTCGCTGCTGATGTGAACGCAATCGTACCAAATCACGGAAGTGAACCGCTATTAATGACGTATTATTTGATAAAAATGTGTGTTTGTGTCTGTGTTTCACTCACATTCCTGACGAGCGTGACTGACGCGCTGCAAGCAGAGAGCTGTATATCACATTTCTGTTCGCCTTCAGAGTACTTTAGAGCATTTGCAGTACATTCGTAAGGCAGACGTAAGTGCCGTTATGTACTGAAGCTTTGGAAACAAAACCAACGGTTCAAAAACATAAATATAAAATTGAAGAGAGCCTTGCTACGCATTTTGCAGTCTTCTCCTGCTCCATCGTTACTAAGCAACGGGGTAAACAGCTGCTGGCTTGATGACGCAAACGAACCGCGGTTCGGACCCAAATAATATAATGTGAACACAGTCCAGCGGGGGCAGGGGGAGCAATTGAACTCGGGTTCGGACCAAGCAATCGAACCAAGTGTAAAAGCACCCTAAATCTTACGCCTAGTCAGAGGTAGGTGTAAAGCAGTGTTAATTTCGTTGATGAATCATTTTCGTCATAATTCTCGTCAACAACATTTTTTTCACTGACGACAACGAGACGATAACGAACTAAAACTATTTTTGAATGACAAAAACTATGACGAATATTTATTGACATTTTCATGTTAGGGAGGGACGATTTGGGAAGAAATTCATTCAGAACGAGATTCGGAGATTAGATGCGTACATATGAACCGGCGGGACAT